CTTTTTTATGTAATAAATAAATGTCGAGAAAGAAGTGGGAAATCTAAGCGACTATCAGCTCCTAAATATGAATCTGTACTGCGAAGTTAGTAATCAGCTATACAGATATATACAGTATTAAAGTCTACACATACACTATTCTGCTACATTATCAAGAACTCTAATAGCAAAATATTTGAAAGGAAATACAGATGGTACACATTACACGTAAAGCTGGCACGATTTCAGAAACGGTAGAACCACATTCATAAACTGAACAAAGGCAAAATACTGAAAAGGTTCGTTTCTCTTAAAAGCATCTCTACTTCATTATCAATGTTGAAATGAAACCAACTTCTGGGACTCTTCCATTAGCAGAGGCTGCTTGATCCTCATCCGGCTTTAAAATTCGATTTCACCACGTGATAATACAGAGTGTTCCTCAGTTAAGTTGCAATATAAAATGCTTTGTAGATCCACGATTTACTGAAGATTTCAATACAAACAAACTGCCTCAAAGCTAACCACAGGACATTAAAACAATTGGAACTCACAGCATGAAGACGCATATAAACTCCTGCTACAGAGCTATACACATACGAGTCGATCAATACCTGGCCTTTTATGTATCATGAAAGCTCATTACCGTAATAAAAGTAGACCACAACAGGTTATATTAACCATACAAATCCTACTTACGCCCTACATTTTTCCTTTGATCAATTTTAATATTATCCTCCCAACCATGCCTAGGTTTTCCGCATACAAAGATGTGTGGCTCACTTTGGCCTACGGGCAACTCAACTCTGTACGCTGCAAAGACAACTAATTCTATTAATCAGAATATTTCCTGAGAAGCTGATAGTAGCTTCGCTGGTCAAAAAATTCCCCTCACCGTCCACAGAAGACCCCGCCACTGTGCCAGCAAACTCCAACCTACTCTTCAAGATACATTTTAATATTATTCCCCATCTATGTCTAGGTCTATCAATTACATTAGACAGAAACTTAATATCGTCTTCTCAAATGTGTTTTTTTTAAGGCCGCACATTTAAGAGTCACTGTCTGTATGAAGTCTGCTGACGGGATGCTGACATATATTTAATTTTCGCTGAGTTTACTTCTGGACCAATTTATTACTAGCGTCCAATAGAATTCTTGGTTATCAACGAAATTAAGTGTGATTTGATCAACTCCGCAAAGGCGGGTCTGCTTTTTCCAAACTTCTGTCCACGTAACGTACGTATTCCTGTTCCAACTGAAGTTCAGTGTGGACGAAAACACGAACAGAACAAAACATCATCATTATCCAGAACAATTCTTATTCTGTCCACCCCAGTGCACAAGCCCCACTTGA